AACCCCCGGGGGGGGGCCCCCCCCCCCCCCCCCAGCCTGATTTTTTGTTGATGATCATGAAGTTTATAATTCTGGGAGTGCTCAGATTTTTGTATCTAAACTGCACAGGTATTGATGGAAGCCAAATCAAAATGTAGCGTTTTTGATGATGCTTTTAGTCAAATGCAACCAATTGTGGACCAATAGAAAGGAGTAACATTTCCACTGTATTGTCCCACGTACACAAATGTAACTTGTTCCTGGTGTCATAAACCACAAAAGCTAGTTGCATGCCCTTTAGTCAGGCTGTCCTCAGACTAGGATCCTCTGACTGACCTTTCAGTTTTGATTCATTCAATTGAATTGTTGCTGTGTGAGAGAAATTTAGCAAAGGGTTAGAATCTATGGATTAAAATAGGAATTGGCTATTATGCTTCAGTGGAGAAACTTGCTCAGCTATTGTGCCCTCTGTAAGAGGTGCTAAGATAGAGACCACAGCAGAAAGGCTGGGATTTAAGTAGATATCACGTGCAAATAGGAGACAAGACTTTGTAGTCTGAAAATGTTAACTTTCAGGAGGGGAAAAAAAAGCCTAAATGTGAAATGTTAAGGAAGTTTAATTGTTTTGAATTTCTTAAGCTGTCTATCCTGGCAATTATGAGCAGCCTTACAATATTGAATTGCCATATGAGCAAGAAACAATTTTTTTTCCCCATGGGGAATATACCAGTGGTTTAAAGATTAATTTAGGATTTAAACTTGTGAGTATTGGAATGTGTGGAAGACAAGGATTTCTGTTGGCTGTGTTTAGAAGTGTGCATGAACATGGAACTGCTATAGCTATACACAGGAATGAGATCTGTAGATTAAAGTCTTTTGGGTAAAAAGCTATGCGAGCTCCTTTACACTGCTTATTCCTGTTACAGCTACAGATTAGAGAGCTCAGGGAGCAGAGCTCAGACATTTTCACTGGAATGATGGCCTCAATTCCAGTTGTAGCATGAGAATCTAGCTTGACTTGGATCCCCAGGCAGTGTTTAAAAGACGACTTGTTTCTGAAACTCGTTTCTTAAATTCAAATTGAGTATGCTGAATTTGAAGTTGTGGGTAAATATAAACTCTTGTTATGTGGAATTATAGTTGATGTACTATTTTTGATGGTATTTAACTTTGTACTGGAATAAATGATCTTATGTATTAAAAAGAAAAAAACCTGCAAACTTGTCAACACTGATTCATGTTTCTGCAGCTGAGTGAATGTAGCAAACAGCTGAAGTGGCTAGGCATTTGTGTTGTAAACAGGGTTCATAAACTTGTACACTTAGACCATATCTATATGAGCGTAAACTTTTGGTTCCCTGGGAGACAAGTAGTTAGGAGCACTGCCACTGCTTGTTCCCAGGGAAAGACCGTGCCACGTGCACTTTGGTGCGCAGCAAGTTACACTGGGTGGGGTACGGGAGGCTGGGGCCAGCACTGTGCTGGCCCCAGAAGCCTTACTTGGGGCTACGGAGGCCTCCTGGAGCTGTAGCACCGGCAATCCTGCTGTGCAGAGCCTGCCCAGCGGTGCAGCATGACTCCAGGTGGCCCAGCTCCATGTTTGACTGACGCATCCTGCCCATGTGTGCGCTGGTCTGCTTTTTTTTTCTCTGCAGGCTTTTTTGACTCCTGGATATCCAGGGGTCAAAAAAAATCAACGGAGAGAAAAAAAAGCAGTGCCTTGCAGTGCAGTGAACGTTTGAATGTGTGGCATCGCAGTCTGGACGCGGCCCTAGTGACCCACAAAGTCTTAAGTTGAGAGCGCAGAAAGATGTCTGGAGTAGTTTCTTCTACAGACAGAAACATTCCTAATGTGTGTGAATAAGTAATGTTCTATTTTACATGCTAAAAAGACCTAATCAAGTCTTAGTACTCCTTAGCAAATCTTCTTTTAGAAGGAACCACATCTGTTGCAGCATAGTCTGAAATTTTAAGTCATAAATAAAGCTTAATTAAGGTGAAACAGCTGCCATTCTGAAGGTAATCTTGTGCTGTTGCTATTTGCTGAAAATTTTTTCCAGACATTTCAGTGAAATCATATTCAGTTTCGAGTCTCGAGTTTATTTTCAAGAAACTGCATTCTTGTTTATATTCTGTTTGTTTGAGCTACATTCACACATCCCCATATGTATACTGAATGGTCTGTAATGTAGTAAGGAAAAGCTGATCCTCTTTATGATGCCAGTTTTTTTTCTGGTGGTCTCCTCCTATGCCTGGCTGCAGTGCAATTCAAGTCACCATGGCAAATGTTAAATCATGGCCAAGTCAGTAACAGTGTTTCTTAACTTAGTTTTTCAGACAGAAGGTATTACTGATACATAAAGACTAAAATGTTGCAGAAGCTGTTGACTGGGGCTGATACTTGCCAGGGAAAGCTTTTCATTCACTTCTAGCAAGTGGATATTTCCGATTGGCTCCCTTCCTTCAACTTGAGACTTGTGAATATTGAAAATTAATGGCATTAATAGTAGCTTTAAAAATACAGCACAATGAAATGAAACTTAATTTAAAAATTCCATTTTGTCCTTTTGTTTAGTTATTTCACTAGATAAGTCTCAAATAATAATGCATTTTATTTGAAGGTAAAGTAAACAATCTGAAACACCTTTTAGCCTTGGTGGCAATTTTAACGGGTTTAGTTTAGACTAGAATGAGCCTCTAATGAATGCAGCATGCTTTCTTCGTAATCCTCTTACAAGGTTAGCTCTTGTTAGCCAAATAAGACAAATATAGGCAAACCTTGATATCTGGGAAATAATAAGTGTTGTAAGTGTAAGCAGATCCGCACACACACTTACATGTCTTATTCTTGCATTATCTACATTTTAACATTTACTTCTAGTCTGTACTGAATGGGCAGGAATTACACATGCTGTGAGGGAAGGTGGGGGGGGATACGAAGGAATCTTTTAATATGTAAACACATTTAGTGATTAGCTTGTACTTAATAGGTGGCCTTGTTTTTGATTACTCAAGTCATTTGTAATCTTTCAGAGAAGTAAAAAACGAGTATTTGCTTACTGAACTATGTTAGCTTGCCTATAGTTGATAATATTGCCCGCTCTCTTGGTGGTAGAAAAGGGTAATGTAGGGATGTTTTGTAATTAAGTGTCCATTCTGCAAAACAAATTTGAAGCTTGTTTACATGAGAATTGCACTGGTTTAATCTCTAGTGAGAAATTCATACTACAGGCAGTCCTCGATTTTACAATGTTTTGAGTTGCAACGTTTCACTCTTACAACTTTATAAATTGACACCCTGTTTCAACTTTATGACATCAGTTTCAACTTTACAACTCTCGTTCGCTGGCGTGACCATTGGATCAAGTTCGCTACATTGCTCATCTCCTGGGAGAACATCTGTCCAAACTTCCTTGGACACTTTTTCTTTAAGAAAGAAGACTAGATTCCAGAAAAATGTGTAGTCAAGACTTTTGAGAAGACTCCAGCCAAGCACCCTTCAGAAAGTCCAACCGAGAGCCTTTCAAAAAGTCCGGCATCATCGCTTCAAAGAAGTCCTTCCAAATCAATATGATTGCTATTTACAATATAAATACATTAATGCAGCTATAGTAGTCATCTAAAATTGACTGAGTACAAAATTCTGGGGTATTTTTGGTGAAAATAAGGTATCGGGCCTTGGTTCAGGAACCAATCCCCCATTTATAACACTTTTTCTTATGGGAAAATCAGTTCCGAGTTGCAACGTTTTGACTTAAGATGCGGTTTTCAGGGACCAATTGTGTCGTAAGTCCGAGGACTGCCTGTACTGCAGAAATGTGTGGACATGCTTCCTTACTTAAGAATTCTGAGAACAAATTTAAGATAAACCTATTTACCCAGCCCAGAATACCTCTATTAAATCACTATTCCAATATAACCTTAGCTTTGATTTCCACTCCCCTGTTTAATAAAGCTGCTGTATATACTGAGTGTGACCTTTTTTTTTCATAATTTGCCTGTTTTAATATGGGCTTCTTAACTGCAGCCTTCTTGCTAGAATTCAAGACCATATTCAAAGTATATTTGTTTTACTGTTCATACTTTGCCCCAGGAGCTTTGCATGCCAAATTAGTACCCAGAATGTGCTTTGAAGAACGTTAGAGTTACTGCGCTAATACTGAAGAACGGGGTCTCCCTTACTAGTTAGTTACACTTTGAACACATCTACATGTGTTCTTTCTTGGTTTTTCATTACTGTTTAGAACTGTGGCTAGGAATGTTTTACGATTTGAATTTCTTCTTCTTTGTTTAGAAATCGAGCAATAGCAGATTATCTTCGTTCTAATGGCTATGAAGAAGCATATTCAGTTTTTAAAAAGGAAGCCGAATTAGATGTGGTAAGTTTACAGCGAATGATTCTGTCTTTATAGAATGTTCTTCTTAAAAAAACCACAAAAATACCAAGCTTAGTTTGCATTATTTTCTGAGCTTTCTATTAAAACTGTACCTAATGAGCTTTTTGTATTGTGGAAATATGAAATAATCAATTTACGCATAAACTTAATGTGACCTGTATATATGAAGCAGCAAATATTCTGTCCGGTTTTGATGGTCTTGAATCTATTTGAAAACTTCTTTAAACTTACCTTTCCTTTATCTTTTGCCGCCTAACATGGATATACTGTTAGTTTATCAGTCTACCTCAGAATAACAATTGTGTATATTCTTTTTTTTCTTCCTGTTTTGATATAAGGCTCCAGTTCCTACAGGGCTCTGGGTTCCTTCTAATGTAAGGAAGGGCACTGTAGAGATAAAAACATGGCATTTTTCTTTACTATCAAGAGAATACATTTTATTTTTTTTGAAGCATAGAATATCCTAAAATATTCCTTCTGTATTCCAGTCTTGTTTAATCATGAGAAGCATGTTATATTAGTATAGCTACTTTCTTGGAAAATGAATGTTCCCTTGGTAATGCAATTCTTATCGTACTCTACTTGCTCTTCAGATGAATGAGAATTTTAGTCGTAAAAATCCAGTTGAAGAAAGTAGAAGTCAAACAAACTCTGTCTTTAGCTTTCTGTTTTTAATATTCTACAGGTAGACTGTTAAAACTGCGGGGGACTTAAGATTGTTTCACCCAGGCTAGGGTGGTTAAAAGTTTCTTGCCCATGCCAAATTTCAGATGGAGGTATAAGCCAGAGCAGAAATCTTTTGGAATGTCAGAGATAAACGGAACAAGTTTTGTCATTTCATGAGGGAAAAAAAAAAAGAGTTTTTAACACTTCCAGTGAAGTTGTTTGCTTCACTTTAAAACTGAAAATCCTCAGTTGTATTTTAATGTGTTTAGTTATACTATTCTTGTTGGCTTGCTTGGTTTTTTAGTGCAACTCCTTTTTAATAGGGTTCTTTCCCTTTCTTCCAAAGGTTCATGACTTCTTTAACTGGGAATTTGTATTAAACTAGAATTGGAGGAAGCTTATGGAGTTCAGAGCATTTATCCAACCAACGGATATTCTGCGGATTTTGCTTTTGAAGTCCTAGGGTTTTTATACACGTGCTCAGAGGAGGAGGGGGCACTTTAATTAGAGCTGCTCTGAGAGCTTTAGTTAAAGTGCTTTAGTTAAAGTCCCCTGCTGCCATTTTTCAGTTTGGGGATGATGATACGCAAGATGCTGGAGCCTGCTGGAGCGCGGTAATTACCATCCTCCAGCAGACTAATTGAGTCTGCTCTGATGTGCTGCAATCACAGGATGTCGGAACAGTCTCGCTACATGTGTATAGGCACCCTTAGTTGTCACCTTTTCAAGGGTAATGTGCCCATGCTTTTATAAAGCTCCACTTGTGCTCTAGACATGCTTTCAGTTGAGTTCTGACACATGCATACAAATTGTAATCCATTTTCTATTTAAAAGCTGCCATTCTATTTTGTTGTGCTATTGGAATATTTTGGAATTTAATATTGACATTTATTTTAAACGGATCAAATTCACTGATCTTTCCCTTTTTCAGTTCATTTTTACTGAAAATGCACATTTCTGTTGTCAGATTACAGCAATGTTTGACCTGCTGTGCTCTCATATTACTGCAGATAGTACTGCTTTAATGCAGAATCTAACCTATTGTTATAAGAACAAGGAACTATCCCTTCTGGCTTCAAATGGCCTCAACACAAATTCCACTGCAGAACCTGATAAAATTGTGCCGGGGAGGCTCTGCCTTTTTGTGTCTATGTTCACAGAACATGGAAGCCTAATTGTGTGTCAACATGTTTTCTGTTCGTCATGTTGATGCACCGGGAAATGTACATAGTATGATTGGAATTGGATCAGTATAGCTACTTTGGGACCTGAAGCTGCTAGAGCTCAGTTGGTAACAGCCTAAAGAAAGGCCAGGTTAAATAGTAGTTCATATACATTCCTCAAACACTTCTGTTAAACACTTCACATTTTTGACAAGGTAGCCAGTTTACTGCTTCTGAGGAATAATGGGTTGAACTTGTTGCCTGTAGGGCTGTGCAAAGCTTCGGTCCCTGATTCGATTTGGTGGAGTTTCGGCCCAATTTGGTGGCCGAATCTCTGAATCGGAGGACCCTTTAATCTCCAAATCGAATCGGAACCCTCCAAATAGATTCAGAAAGATTTGGCGATTTGGACATTGCCACATCTTTAAATGTTTTTTCTGCATACCTCTAGGTAGCAGG